TCCATTGTGGACACAACACCAATACCACGTTTCCCCCCCTCGCCTCTTTCCATCCCCAGATGGAACGAAGAGGATGAGGGTATTTTCCTTCCAGCCGTGCAAGGCAGTCAGGTCCCCACAGACAAGCCCCTTTTGCTTTCTATGCTCAGCTGTGACTTCTGCAGTCCTCCAGAACACCTGGCCAATCAAACCCCGATTTGCATTCCTCTTCCCCCATTCCCCCTTCCCTCCCTCCCCTCGAATTGCTGTTGGCAAAAGAATTCAGCGCTGGCAGCGCCTCGCTGCAATGCAGCAGTGACTGCGGGAGACGAAGAGTTTACATCTGTGGAGCAGAGCCTGAAGCCCCGATTGTTTGCAAGTGATGGTCAGGCAAACGCTTCTGGGGACCGGTGGGAAGGAGCTGGATGCTAAGGGGGACATCGGGAGGTGCCGTGGCCTGGGTCAATAAGCTGTCACAAAAAAACACACGTGCTACGATCCTACATTTCTTCCTGCGTGTAACACAGGGGTCTGGGACACAAGTTGCATTACCCAGTTTGACCCAAATCAGTTCAGTCTGACACTGCATTTGAGCACGTTTATTTTAAACCAGTTTCAGCCATTTCGAAAGTGCTTTATGGGCGCTGAGCACAGGTTTAAACCAGTTTCGGATCACTTAAACCGGTTGATGTGTAACTTGTGTCTCTTGCCCAGCATTTCTAGGCCCTCCCTCAGGGGCAACACTCCCTAGGGCCCCTTGAAAGAAGCCTCGTTAGTGTAAACCTGGAAGCAGCAGCTCTTCACCAGCATCTGGCTCAGCTCTTTAAAGATAAATGAAAAGAAACACCACCCATCCGCTTTCTCCTGTGTTATTGAGTGCCACGGCTAGGGAGAAGCAGTAGTTTTGCTTGGAAGGGCCCATGTGAGCCTTGATCCTTTTGTGCTGCTTCAAAGGGAACCTGCTATTTAGCTTTAAAGGGCTGCGTGGAGAGCTGATTTAAGGTCACAAAGAATCAGGTGACAGTCCAGGTCCATATTTGTTTCCATATGTCACTGTGGAGAAATGACCCTTTGGTCCACTTGAATGCAAGACCAGCTTTATATCCTATTTCCTCAGACTCTTCAGTAATACATCCACTCCCCAGCGACTCCAAATGTCCATCCTTCACATGGGCCTGTGAACAAAAATCATCTTACTGGATATTACAAACCACAGACTGAACCCAGACAGTGGTTTTATGGCTCATTACAGTTTACCTGCTCTTTGCTACCTCTTAGATGTCACGGGTAATAGCAACCCACTTCCCTTTTGAATGTTTTATTCTTTCACATAATTAATTTATCTGGTTCAACTGCCCTTCACCTGTTTTGTAGCTGTTTCTAATAATTTCTCTTTGCTCCACATTTTTATAGCCATTTTCCCCGTTTGAGTTACTTTTCATTTATACAATTGAACATTGTTTTATCCAGCGTTTAGCTCCAGCTGTCTCTGCTTCTTTCCCAGACCTGAGGGAGGGCACTTTGGACATTTATGCATGTGCTCTGGGAGGCTGGGTGGTGGTGGGGGCGCTTTAATTAGTCTGGCTTTAATTAGACTGGTTTTCCCTTAGAGTTTTCCCTTTTCCTAATGGTCACAAACTCCTGGAAGACTGTTTCAACCTCATCATTAGGATAAACTTCTTCACAGCTGGGGTGTCCAGACTGTAGAGTAAGCTCCCTCCAGAGGTGGTGCAATGGCCTACCCTGGAGATCTTCAAGAGGAGACTGGATGGTCTCCTTGCTGGGGTCACTTGACCCCAGTTGCCTTTCCTACTTGGCGTAGGGGGACTGGCCCCCATGATCGTGGAAGGTCCCTTCCAGCCGTTACAATCTATGAATCTATGAAAGTGCCCAAAGAGTTGCATGTAGCAGTATCCCCATGCTGAAAAAATGACGGCATGGGTGCCTTAATGAAGGCTCAAACGAGCATTAGTTAAAGCATCCCTGCTGCCACTTTTCAACCCAAGGATGCTGATACGCGTGATGCTGGAGTCTGCTGGAGCGTGGTAATCTTGCGATTAATCGAGTCTGCTCCGACGTTAAATAACATAATTCATCAAGTGTGCTCTGACATTATATAACATGATTAATCGAGTTTGCTCTGATGTGTTCCAATTACAGAGCATCAGAGCAGCCTCAGTGTCTGTGTATAGGTGCCCATTGTGCCCAACAGCTTGTCTAACATCTTTCCCAATTATTCCGGTGGTCCAAAGATATTAACAAAATCAATCAATCAATCAATATAAGCCACCTTGCTCCTCAATTTCCTGGACCATCGTGGCTACAATAATACTCCAAACTGAACACAACTTTTACTAACTTGAAGTTATTGAACCTTTGTTACTGCCAGAGGTGCCAAAGACATGAATCCCACACTTCCTTTAGTAACCGAGAGGGCATCTCGAAGTATCAAATCCAATCCAGTAATTAATAAATCAGGACTTTGCCAGGCCAAAGTAATGTTTTGAAAGGCCTGAGCTGCTCTCCAGCTGAGAGCCTACAGTCCTTTGCTTATGCCTACCCTAATGTCAAAAGCTAACAGTGGAAGACCTTTGGCTGAACTACCGTGCCCTTTTAAGACACACACATCCTTCTAGGAAAGGGGTCCCTGACTTCTGCTGGATGATGGAGGGAGAAAGGTAGCATTTCCTGAGTTATAACTAAGGCAGGAGAAGATGGATTTTGGGAACCTGAGCAGTCCTGGGCAAGGCAGCATAGGAAAAGCCCAGTTGGGGGCGGGGGGTGGAGGGGAAGGATTGTGGGCAGATACTGTTATTTCTTCCATTCTTGGACAAAAAGACTTTAGGATGACAATGAGTTTGGACTTGATAGAGCATGTGAATAGAGCTTGCAAAACACATTTGGAAGAGTGAGAATTGGTTTCCAGATAAGCATTGTGTGCAGTCAACTGCATGCATATATTCAGATAAGCAATATAAAAGGTAATGTGTAGACACTGTTAAGAAAACTTGAGATCACTAGCAAACTAAATATAAATAGACAACAAAAAAGCTGACATGCATTCCAGCTTTGGCAAATTAAAGGTTTTGCTTTTTATTTATTTTTTTTTTTAGTTTTATTTTTTTTTTCTTAAGTACGCTGTGACAAGATGGAATTTATGATCAAAACGTTTCTGGGGCTTTGTAAAGAGAATGCCCTCCTTTTAGATCAAAACTCGTGCTATTTAGCTTTTTTCGCAATCATCCCCAGCTTCCCCCAGTGACCTGCAAAGCTGAACCTGCCGACACAGAAGAGCTCTGAGCCACTGGGAAAGAATACTGATCTTAATAGGCTGCTTCTGTCTGCAAATACACCAGGCAAAGGAGGTGCTTTCATGCAATTTACCCTGATTTATGGTTGAAGAATTTATGGTTGGGTTTCTGGATGTTTATCAAGAGGGAGATAAATCTACAATATTGCACTTTGAAATTATTGTTATTATTGACATAATCAAATGGGGCTTTATATCGTGCTGTCAAACATTTCCATTTCACTGCATCAAGAAAACCCAACGCAGAAACACTGCGGTCTTCATAAATGTCCAAACAATCATATTGTAAGGGCGGAGGTAGTAATCCAGCTATAGAACAGTTGTTCCTCATGTGTTTTTTCTCTAATAGTAATAATCCCACTTTGAAAGCTCCTTTCATTAGAAGATAACACAACAATAAGCCTGATAACTACTGCTGTTCTGTCCACTTTCAAATAATGGGGCACACAGGCATTGAAGTCATCCTAGCAGAAGGATCAGAAGAGGACACTGTGTGATATCATAGTTCACCATTGAAAAGCCAACATACACCAGCAGTTACCTACCAGCAGAGCTAGCAACTACTCATAACTATCTAATGTGATTGGTCTAATAAAAGATATCAGATTCACCCAAGGAACCTTGTCTGCCTATGTCCTTAGACCAACACGGCTACAACCTACACCCCTGCATAATTATCTACGGTACTTATATGATCCCTATCACTGTGGTGTATGAGCGCCTCTCAACCTCAATCAGCATTTGTTATCACAACACCTACTGACGGGCAGCATTATTGCCTCTATTTAAAGGTGGAACACAGATGGCATAAAGGCCATTTCTACGAAGGTATTTTGTAGGTATGACCCCTACTTAGGCATCTAACCAATTACTTTCAATGACAGTGAGTAGAGGCTGGGAATACGTGATTTTCCCAGCATTCCCCAGGAAGCTTGTGGCAGAGAAAAGAACTAAACTTGGATCACCCATGCCTTAAGCTTTTCTCTGTCCAGACAGTAACTACTGACCAAGTGCGAGCACCATACAAGGGAACAGTCTCCTGACTCAATTGTACCATTATTTGAACCTGGCCAGAATAGAGAACAAATCACAGCACAACCAGCCCTACTTGATTTGAAAGACTTCTGAATTATTTTCTTCTTATTTTGAAGCAGGTGTTACATTGTAGCTAGATCTCCCCTCCAGCAGTCCTTATCACTCGCGACATAGTAAAACTCAGATTCTGCCAGGAAGGAACATTACATTCATCGGCTGAACTGAACTAACACTTTCTCATGTCCTCCCCAACAGAATATCACGTTACTAATTAAAGCGGTGCTGAATGGGGGTCTACTGGAGAGCAGGACTCCACCATGCTCAGTAATTATAAACCAATAGTGAAAGACAGTGTGAGCTCTGCATTGCTTTCAGTTCAAGGAGATAAATCGGACAAAATATGGGGAAGGAGAAGTAGTAAACTTACTCCAAATACCACTGAAGTCCAAGGGAGCCCATCCATGGGCTTTGAATAAGGCCCTGAGTGACTTGCCATAGTTCATGCAGGATGTTTGTTGCAAAGCCAAGATCTGAACTCAAATCTCCTGAATTTTAGTCCAGAACCCCAAAAAAGCACAAGACCAGCTATCCTTCCTTAGCCACACTGGCTACTAGCAAACATTTGCAAGACCACATGCCTACTGATACAGCCATCCCCACCCCCTCTGCCTTTTACCTGATCAACGGTTGGTGTAATGCTACCAGCGAGGCATGCACGGTAACGGAGATCACCGACAGGTGGAAATAGTCGAACATGACGGGAACATGGTGGTGCAGGCCTCTCTTTGGGTGGAAGTGAAGACACAGAGTGCGGCTGCTTATCACTGGGATGGCAGGAACATCTCTCAGCCTGAAGGAGAGGTTTGCAGGGGTCAGGAAAGCCTGAAGGGGTCATCATTTATAACATCATTCAAAGCAGCAAATTGGGGAGATGGCAGCATGCACTGAACTTGAGTACTTCCTGGTAGCCCTCCCAGTCACCGGAGTGCTTACTCCATTGACGTGCTTATCTCTTCATTGTACTTGTAACCAGTAGAAGTGTAAAGATTATGAAGCTACTGAAAGGCAACAAATCACAGGAGATGATAGAAAAGAGGGGCCCCATTTGGGTTTCCTTGACAAACAGTTCACTGCTTCCTTCAACTTCTAATCACACCAGAGGAAAGTGCTTGGGGGTGTTTAAGACCAGTGGGAAGAAGTGCAAATCAGAGTGTGCAGGTAATTCAAATGGCACTAACCAGAATTTAATACCAAAAGTGAAGTCTAGCACAAAACAGCCTGCTTTTCCTCAGGGCAACTAAGGGGTAGGCTTGTTATTGCAGGGCATTGAAAACCACCCAGAGCATCCTTGGAGATGATTGACACTCTCCTGGGGTCAAAAGCAATCAGGACTCTTGTAGTAGAGATGATATCTTTTATTAGACAAAAAAAAAAACAACATTTTTTTTTCTTTTTTTTTTTCTTTTTTTTTTTGCAAACATCTTGTTGGTCTAATAAAAAGATACTACGTCTACTACAAGTCCTGATTGCTTTTTCCTCTAGACCGGTACAGGTACAACCTGGATACCTCTCCTGGGGTCAAGACACTCTCCCTAGAACAGACCGTCTGACCTGGGAAATAACTCGAGTGGCTCTTCATGTGGAGAGAAGACAATAATTAGTAGCTTTCAGCCTGCTTGTGAAGATAAATAATCCACACCTGCAAAAACCACTTTGTGCATTGGCCTCCTGCGGGTATTATATCTGATTTTCATTCCACTGCAATATCTAAAACAGCAGTCTGGATAAATAGGGACACTTGCAGGCTGAGAGCTGGAGTTGGCAGGGGCACATACTTTTTTTGTCCTTTCTGCTATTTTCTTTTAATGCAATATTTGCTACCCTCACAGACCCAGTGAAACCCTTCTGGGTGCATTTCTCTTCGCTCTCAGTTTAGCCTTGAAAAGAGCACTGAAGTTTGACCCCAGTGGTGCACAAGCCCCAGCCTCAGTGGAGGATTTCACACTAGAAGGTGCATTTTTATTTGAATGAACTGGTGTTTCGGACACTGAAGTAGTACAAACCTGGCCATTCTTCACTCCTCCTTTAGAAGAAAATGAAGACTGGCATTTAAATTTAGAGAGAGCTGTTAGTCTGAAGTCAGGCAGAAGGCAAAGTCGATCTGAACCTCATAGACTAAATCAGAGATGTATAAGCTTTCGCAAACAGCCGTTTCATCAGATGCCATGAAGGGACTGCCCCTTCACGCCTCTGCATCTCTGACTTAGTAACATTTAAAGTTAGAACCATCAAGTTTTAACAGGTTTTTCTGATGTGCAGCCAATTAACACATACCAAGCAGAAGTATCTGCTACATGGAAATGATGCACAGATTTACGGCCTAACATTTCCACCTGTTCTTCCACAGCCCTCGTACCATTCAGGGAGATTTACATTGAATTGCAATGGTTTCAGCTCTCAAAGAGGAGACGAAATGGTAAGGCTCCAAAATAATGCATGATACAAACATTTCTTTCTAAGAGGTGAGAGACCCCTGCAGCGATTGCACTTAAGTATCTGCTGTACAGGATTGCTTTGCTCAGTCACAGACTTGCCTCCCACTGAGTTCAAAGGTAGCAAAGTTGGGATAGTGCACTGCAAATGCAGAACGTCTTATTGCAGAGAGAGGAGCAAGAAAAGGAAAGAACAGGCAGCGGTCCCTCCACCGAGGGAGCATGAAAGCAAATCAAAGATATCCATTTTTCCATAAGATCCTTTAACTTCTATCAAATTCATGTTACCAATATGGGGGGAAAAAAGAAAGCCCCTACAATATCAACTGAACTTTTCAATGGCACTTACAGCTGCTCACTATCAGTAAAGTGCAGGTCCAACTTGAGCTGAAAATCGGCTTCGCTTAACGCATCTTCCACCTACAAAAGGAAAGCTGAGCTGAGTCAATGTCATAAATCACACAAAGTCCAAATGCAAAGGAATTATATACATTTTCCTTGACAAAGCAAATGCAAAGAAATACAGCAGAAAAAAAAAAACCCAAAACAAACCCTGATGAACTGTGTGAATAAGACATCTGGGCAAGAGAACTATTTTTCTGGCACAAAAGAAGGGAGAGCCCCTGCTTGGGTTGAGAAATCTCAATACAAATTCACTTTGGGATGAAACTGAAATGAGTCGGGTTTCAGAGCAGGAGAAACATCATTCAACATCACTAAACGGGACACATTTTTGAACATGTCACAGACATCACTTCTGGACTCTGAACTAGCTCAGAGGTGTTTCAAGATCTAACGCTTTGGCTGAAGTCCATCATACTCAAAACTTTGTCCAGGCATGCTGATTCTCCAGTATCCAGAAATTTCAGGAGCATGGGAAACCACAGTGTTTATTAGATAAAATAATTATTATTTACTCATACCGAGATAGTACCTATGACCTTCCAGCATGGATCAGCCTGTAATGCGTAACAAAGATACAGGCTCTGCCCAAAGACCTAACCGTCTATACAAGTTAGAGACAGAAAAAGCTCTGTTATCTCCTTAAGTCCAAATCCTCT